ATCTATTTGGAGAGGACGATCTCGATGTCGTCCGGAGTAAGAGTGATGACGGACTCTGCGTCAGAGTCAGAGTCGATGAAGGACTCCTCGTCCTGTGCAGCGAAGCTGGATCGCTTGGTCTCTGTGAGGGCGAAACCGGGGAGCCATCCGAGGAGAGCGACGGCGGCGATAGCCCACCACGCAAGACCAGACATGTGGAGCGTGGTACCAAGGCTGTCGACGGCACCCGAGATGGTGGGACCGAAGCCGCGAGAGATACTGGCAGAAGACATGGCGACGCCGTTCAGCGTGCCGAGAACCTTCTTGGATGGGGATGAGTTTGCGAGGATGATAGCCAAGGACGGGTAGGAGAGCGATTGGAAGGTGACCTTGGCCATGAGCAGAACCGCAAGTCCAGGAATGCGCAAGTTTTCGGGAAGGATAGCCAGGTAAGGAGCAAGGAGGTACAAGATCGGGTAGCAAGCTAGAGTGATCCAGAAAGTGCGAAGGCTGCCGAGCCTCTTGCTGACCCAAGGGAAAAGGATGACCTGTGCGAACATCTGGAGGAAACCTTGCACTGCGAGGAACGCGCCAGTCGTTTGAGTGGACCATCCGAAACCACCCTCAAAGCGGAAGGGAAGATGTTGGCTTCCCTCGGTTGGCACATGCTTGGACATGAGAATAGGTAGAAGCTGCTCGAGAGAAATGGTGTGGAAAGCAAGAACACCGTAGCACACTACATTCAGGCACACTTGCTTGGTGAATGCTTGTCGGAAAGTCGGCGCTGGCTCAAACTGCTTGTCCAACTCAAATTCAGGGACCTCTGAAATGGAAGTTCGTGTGCTGCAGAGAGTAGGCGAAGTGTCAGTGCTGCGGTAGGCCTGGACGTCGTGGTCGTGGTCGCTCAACATCGAGCGCATCTCGTCAAGCGAAGCATCCTTGTCGTCAAATCTCGCATCTGCGTCGCGCTTCCACAGCTTCTGGAGAAGCCATTGCCCCGCTTCACGGCCTCGATCCTGGTCGTATTTGCGATCCTCGTGGGTCTCTTCCAAGAACAAAATACCGACAGTCAGGCCGAGAACGACAAAGCCGGTGCAGACCAAGTTTGGAAGAAGGAACGGGTACGTTTCGAAGATGGTGTCCTGGAAAAACGGCATTACGTTAGCGGGACGAGCGAGCAAGCCGCCAAGCGCTCCGCCAATGATGGTGCTACAAAAAGCGGTCAGCGTGTGGACGAGTCGGGCTGCTAGGAAATATCTTACCCAAGGCACCAGACAAACGGCATGATGGAATAAGCGCGCGCTATGCAAAGTCAGTCGTGCGCGGCGTATAATTAGAGTTATGGCAAAACTCACGCTGATGTCGCTCGTCCGTAACAAGCTCTGCAACAGTGGTCTGGAGAACGCCGATGTTCCTGCATATTCGGTTAGCGAGGCTCAGACGCTAGATCGAACTATGACCTCACCCGTTAAGCAAACCCCCGAGAGCCCGCGCAATCAACGCCATTGGTAGGCTCTGGGAAAAGCCGAAGAGCAACATGCTCAGCCCCGTACCAAAAAGACCTCCAAGTAGGACCTTCTTCCGTCCTACCCGATCACTGAGTCGGCCCCAGAAAATGCCACTGATGCATTCCATGAATGCAAACGAGGATGTGACCATGCCGGTGTACATGGAAATTTGGGCGGTGGAATGTCCGGTCATGAATGATTCGACCATGAAGTATGCGTAGGGAAATATCGACATGAATGCGATTGGTTCGCATATCCGGCACAACGCTACCATCGTTAGCGACTGTCGTGTGCTGCTACATCATGGCATGCTGCTCACCAAGTACGGCCATCTGTCGGGTTGGGAAAGGTGTTATATCGCTGCCCGCGGCAGCTGCCACGCCATACCGAGCCATGTTGATAGTATCGAAGTCGAATGTAAGGTGGTGTGCAGGTGTAGAGGTCGAGGTGGTCGAAGAAGAATGTCAAATACTATGACAGCAGGTGGTGAATGTCAAAGTGAAGTGGGAGTCGACTGTGACAAATAAGACATGTGCGAGTTTGCGACAGATTAGTACCTCCAGGGCTCAGAGGTCAGAGTCAGTTTGCAAAGGACGCGAGCGTCACAAGGTATATAAGGAGCAGCAAGATTTAAGTGGCGTCCTCAAAACGGATAGACCGCTGGGATGAGCAAGGATTGTGGCGGCGGGGAAGAAACGGAGAACAAGCGGTGATGGCAGTGGGTATGGATACGTAGTGTGGGCGGATAGGGACAGCGGAGGGACCAGCGAATGTAAAATGAGTAGCGGATCCGTGATGCCATCGTTGCTACGAAACAGCCCACCGTCTGTCGATAAGCGACCGGAAAATGCAGTGCTGGCAGCCGAGCTGTACCTAGCTCTGTTTTTTGTGACTCCATGTCACCGGACGGGCTCTGTGAGTCTGTGTGAGCATGCGAGAGCGAATGCAGCCCCCTGAAAGTGGGCCAGGGCTGGGCTGGGGAAGCTTTCTGCTCATCGAACAAACCGGTCCGGGTTGGACGGAATCCACGACATTGGACGAGCTAGAAGGAACCGAGTAAGGCGGACCAGGGAGAGTTGCAAGAGCGTTGGACGTGGCTCGTAAGAGGAACAGGATCAACAGAGCAACCCGACTCCCCGGGACCCAAATCCTCGGCGCTAGAGATGCCCGCATGCCTCTACCGACATTCACAGGCACTAGCGCCCTGAGTCGCGCCACAGCAGGGGAGACCCTGTCGCTCTGTGAACGACATGGCAACATGCCGGCGACTTGCGGCTTGCTTTCCTTCCCTAAACGGACACAGCGGCCCAGAGGCCGATGCCCCGCCAGCAAATAGGACGTCGTGCCGCCAATGGTGTAGAACACAAGGCGATGCTAATTTTCGCAGCGCCCAGTTCAGGGGCACCAGGACACCAAGCCGCGGTCAGACTTTTGACGTGAGGCGAGTCAGAAGATTCGCCGCAGAATTTCGAGAAGCAGCTTGGGCCATGCAGCTGGGGCCCTCGCTGTCATTGATGATGAGCGTCTGTCATGGCATCATACCTTGCTGCTTGATTGCTCCGACAAACCCCCAAAAAATAGCGGTGTACTCCATGCCTATTCGGCAGATGCACACCAACCGGTCACGCGGCAATGCGCATTAGACAACGTCGCTTTGTTGCAATGCCTGGCGATCCGGATGGTCGTCAGCGCCACAAGGCACGAGTCGCGGCGCTTGAATGGCCGAGGAGGACGACGCAGCGCGTTTCGTATCCCTCAGATCGCAACCTGGCACTAGGCGTGCGGCGATTTCATTTGCTGCCCCAGGTATCATCTCTCTGCCCCCCTGTCCGGTCAGCGTGGTTTCGAAGCTTCCCACGCCTGCGCATTGGGCCCAACCGGGTCGCAGGACGTGGCTTGCTGCTTGCATCTGTCATTGCTGGTCACACATCGTGATTGCATTCTCATCAGTCATCAAGGCATCATAACCCTAGGACCCCCATCAGCTGACGAGGCTCTGCGCCCTTCTGCGGCGACGTAGCATCTGTACTGCTGCCCATTTCAGACCGCTTGATTAGGTTTTGCCAGCACTCCCATTTCCGGTGGGCCCCGGACATGCTTCCGTCATGTGCTGTAAGTGAGCTGTCGCGGTATACCAGCGATCTCTGCTTGCTGGTGCAAAGGTGTCCAGGGCACAACGGCTGTTTCGACGCAACCTGGCCTAAGCGGTCATGGCGGTGTGGATATGTAAGGCTGGCCTGCAGATTTCCACGCGAGGGACAGGGTTCGCAAGAAGATGGAAGCGTCTGAGACAGCCACCGCCTTTTTTAGCGCCTTTAGGTTTACGCCCCCTGGCCCTCTTATTGCTCTACTGGAATCCTCCGAGAATGACACCATGCTTCTTTGCCCTTAGGCAATAGCATAACTCATAGCGTCGTGCCGCGACGAAGATGACAGCAGATGCAGGCGGCGTGGGTTAGAGAGATTTCGGAGGATTGGGGTGTTCACGCGCTTGTCGGCACGAGTGTACAAAAACGAAAAGCCAGCCTTGAAACCGGCAGCGTGGGTCGATCGGAATGATGCTGCCCGATCATTCTGCATCAGGTAGATGCTCGATGCGGCGTCGTTTCTAGGTGCGAAGCTTTGTCTGCCTTCTTCTGCCCTCGGTTGCGACGACGTGTAATACCATCGCCTTAGGCTACCAATAGTGGGCTGACTGGAGCCAGCGCATTTCGACCCGAGCCTTGTACGACGTGGTCATCAATCATCACCAGTGCGGCACAGCGTCTCGAAATAAGCGTAGGAGGGCGAAAGTTGATTATCCTGATGCTGGTGTATAGGCTGGCTCGGCAAGCGCAAAGCGGGATGGCTAACCTCATGTCCCGACACAGGCGTTTCGAGACGATGTAGGTGTGTGTGAGCCAGTTCTGCTCTGACTCGCCAGTCCCAACGGCGCATGCGGTCATGCACCCTCCATGGTATTCTGACGTGAGTCCGGTGGTGTGCGTTCAGCCGGACCGTTGCGAGTGTGTCGGCACAGATACTCGGTCTCAGCATGCAGACAGAGCCTTGTCCCAGGGCCGCAGATGACGTCCCGAGCATGTCTGACATAGATGGACGACGGGGATGGAGCGGCAGCCCGGCATCGGGCGGGTGAGGAAGATGCATGCAGTGTTACCGCGAATATATGTAGAGGTGGTGTAGGGATGGTGTTCGACAGGGCGTTGCATCCACGAATAATCAGCTCGACCTCATCAAACACCACTCGCAAACTGCCACGTTGATGGGCAGCCCAGATCCCCCACGATGCTACCATGCGCGCATCTCCTTTCGCGACCCGGTGAGATACAGAAGGGTGTTGGTGGTGTTGCACGCTCAACGAATGGCAGGCGGGGAAGCGCGTTAGACTCAAGCAGGTGAGAACGCAGATCGGCTAGCACTAGCGTCGAACGCGCTTCCAAGGTTCGGCTCTCTATCGCAGGCGCCGTGCTTGCAGATGCCGAACGACCTACAACCATCATCGTTGCTCTCGAGATGCCGTTGTCCGTCTCTGCGTCGGCTCTCCCGTCGTTTCGGAAGCAGCATCTTCTCGTCGAGTTGTGAGTCGAGGCACACGGCTAGCAGCGGCGCTTCCTAACTCTGCACAGCACCCGTCTGCGCTATGCACAGCTTGATGGCGTTTTCTTGAGCATCACGCCCGGCGACCCAACACTGTGGGTAGGTGTAATATTCGTGCGAAAAGGTAGGCTGTTCTATAGGGCTACGCCACGGCGTTGCGTTCCTTGCGACGTTATTCACGTTTGACAGGACCATATGCACCTGCAGTCTTACGCTTCCAAATCTCCTTCCCACCCAGCTATCCTACTATACCCCCCCTCGTGACCTTTTCTACCGATGTCTTTCACCCGCTGCTCACGCCACTTACCACGTATACTTACACGACTGGCTCCGCCGACACGGATACGGTCAGTGCCACGGATGAGGAACGGCTGCCACCAGGAGGCTTCAGTCTCCGGCACGGCTTCCCGCACTGGTTCGGCAGAGCTCGAAGATCTGTACCGAGTTCTCGCGATGTCAGTGGATCTTCAAATGCTTTTCCCGCGCGATCCGACTCCAACGTCGTATCTGGCGTCCTCGGGGCTTCTCAGTCTACTGCGGAGTACTCCATTGTGCGCATGCTAGAGTACATCCGCTCGACCTTTAGTGAGGAGTCAATATTGGACTCACTTCCGCTAGAGGCTGCTGCGAACCCAGGCGCGTATCATGCGTGGCGGGCCCACCGCGCTCCGATATTGCAATCGCAACAGTCAGACCGAGCAACTCCAAGTCCCGACCCTTCCACAACGGACAAGTCAGAAGGTTCATCTGCATTGGGACGTAATCGCCGACCTGGAGAGTGGAACTGGGAGGGGGTCTGGGAGGAACGTGTAAGAAAAGCAGTCAAGGCTAGTATATCGGAACCAGTCCTGTTCGGCACTGGCGCTGGAGAAGACATTGTAGGTCGCAGCCATATCTGACTAAGCCACTACTTACTCATGTGATAGATTCGCTTTCGCGAGGCGGACGATGAGATGCACGAGAAGATGAAGAGACATTTAGAAGTGGCTGCCGCACAACTGGGTGAGGCGTAATGGGAGGACTGTTTCGATTACAGTCCACATCAAATATCTGGTACAAGCTATGCGTTGCCGTTCAGAAGCTAAGCATGAACTTGAACGCGTCTTGGTGCGAGTTCTTGATGAGATTGTCTTTTTTTCAGAAGTAGGAAGGGGCATCGTAGGTTTGTTGACGTGCCCACCTCGCACCTTCCCGGCTTGTAGCAGTGCCTCTCACTTTTAAACCTCACCCCACCGTTGGGCTTCCTACCTCTTCTCGCACATCCACTCTACATCTCAACTTGGGCATTGCCTACTCTTCTTATCCATCTCCCAGATTCCGTTTGCCATCTGACGTCACTGTTGATAGCAAGGCCACGCGTTCTCAAGAAAGTCGAGGTGAATGAGAGCGCGCCGCGGTGACTGGGCTTTTATTTGTGCCTAATTGGGACGCGTCCATAATGATCACAACAACAACAGCTGGCAGCGTCTTTCTGGACCGCGCGCCTCTCTGCCCATCTCCCCTCCACATCCAGAAGAAATCGCGAAAAGCTACTTTTCGAAGGCGAATATTTCGTAAGTCAACTCCTACCTATAGCGACGATCAGTACGTGTTCGGTCCGCTAGACGACATCATCGACGAGATCAAGAGCGATATCTGGGAGTCACCGCCCGACTACAGCTTCAACTCATCCGTCTTTGACTGGGCGCAGCCGCTCAGAGTACCTTTGTCGTGGACCGTAACACCTCTGCCTCTTAGTCGTGCGCCGAGCGACCAGCCTCTGACGATACGCAAGAACAGAAACAGTCGGTCCTCAGCCTCAGGATCCAGCTTTGGAGACCAGATGGCGTTCTCGCGCAAGAACAGCCATGTCGAGCCCGAAAACGGCGACCCAGTACGTTCTATGCCTACCACTGCACTTACCCCTTGGCCGTTGATCGATGTGGCGTCGAGCGAGGCTGCGCACCCTCTCTTCGTCGCCGACAGCGCTGAACACATGAACGCGCAGCAGGCTCTCGAGAAGGCGATCAGCAACACTGAAGGTCACGCCGAACCACTGAAGCGGCGCATGTCGTCAAAGCTTCGATCGTTTACCAGTGGTCTACCTCTCCTACGCCGCCACAACACTGGAGAGACTAGCGCTGGTATTAGCGATATACCGGGTGCAACGTCGCCAACAGCAGCTACAGCGCTCGCGGCTCACGAAGAGACTGAAGAAGGCTCAGAGGTGCAGCATCCGGACGATGAAGCTGTCGGGGCTTACCTGCTACGAAACGCCCGCAAGTACGTGAACATCTGCGAAGCTATGCAACAGTCACTGATATGATCCAGCGGTAACGAGTTCACCTCCATCATAGGATGTATCTCGAAGCGCATTCCTTCCCCGACTGACTTTGACCATGAGGCTTCGGAGGCACAGGTGTCAGACTTGACCTCCCATTTGCCAACAACCCTGCGCCCAGCGGTTAGACTGTTCCCTGAGGTCAAGCTTCTCACCGAGGATTACCAAGACATCGGCGTTGCTATCGAGATCGAGGGTGTCCTGCACAACCGAAAGCCTCTGCCCGACACCGGTATTGATGTGATCTTCGTGGTAGACAACGGGTAAGTGCCTGCATGGCGGGATCCACGATGCCAGCTGACATTCTGTACAGTTACTATGTGACTCCGGCTTGTCTCGAGAGGTCGCTGGATGCGGTTAATGGAGCCTTGGTAAACCACCATCGTTGATGTCGCTCAGAAGCAATCTACTAACCTTTTTAGTATCATCTTGGCGGCGAGGATCGCGTGGCGCTTTACACTACTCACTGCACCCACCGTGATGTCACCGGAAACAGGCCAGAAGTGCTTTATGCACTTCGACCCGTCTGTACGGAAGTCGATGAGATCTTTCAGGATTTGACGTCTAGGATCGCGCACTCTGGTTCGCAAGTCTGGCATCCGCCTCGTCCGAACCCGTCCATGACTGATGTCATCCTTGGCATCGCGAGATCCATGCAGGGCGAGCACCTCAAGGCCGGTCGAACTCATGTCATCGTGCTGTCTCCTGCAGCCCATGTCTTGCACGATGTATCGAAGTCCTTTCCGGATATCTACATTCACCGCATCAATCCTGCGCTGCTCCCATATCGCCGCGAACCAGAGTTCCAGGATACCATCTGTCTTAAAGACTGCTGCAAGAACGTTTTCGCCAGCAACTGGTCCAAGTACCAATCCACGTCCGGTCGCATCAAGCGTATCTTGAAGAATGCTCGGTCTGAGAAGCCTGTTGGCGAACTGTTTGACTTTACGGTCGAACTCCGGACTAAGGCAGGTTGTGAGATTCTCTTTGTCTGTGGAGACAAGGAGATTCGCCGATTGTTTCCAGGACAAGTGCACACCCTCTTCGTCTGGGTCCGCATCAACAAGGCTGAGACTCAGGGCGTTAACCTCAACTCTGACAACCCCATTCTCAACTCATGCCTCGACGCCAACGGACTGAGACAGGAGCTGCAGAACTGTGTCCGTGCAGGTGCCACCAAGGTAAACCCTCTTGAAGTGCAGCTACTGCATCGCAGCTCACTTCACCCGACGCGATCTTGGATGTACACGGAGGCTCAGCTCATCCTCACTCGCGAGCTTGGCGGGCTGGCACCTCTCCTGGATACATCCATGGAGTTTTTCAAGCGTCAGCTTTTCTGCAACCTTTCTCGAGTGTCGGCGGACGAAGCTAAAGTTGTGGCTGAAGCGACTCTTAACACCCTCCCCAAGGATCATGAACAAGCAAAGATGCTGCTGGAGAGCATGTCACAGGAGATCGAGCTTCACTTGGCGATCCGCAAGTATGAGAAGGAATACCGACAGAGGCTCCCGCTGTGCCCCGGTCCCACCGACGTGGAAGCATCTCACAAGTGGCTTCACGAGCTGTGGGCTCGTAGGAGGAACAAGCGCAGCGGCTCAGACGTGGCCTGATGCCTGTCCGCGAGCATATCGGTGATTCATCAAACCATGGTGGTGAAGGTCGGTGGTGGCTGTCAGCGCCTTTGTTTTTGGCTCGAAGCTGATGGCCAGAGGGTGGAGGAGGATACTGGCGATGCATGTGTTGGAGCAGCGAATCTCGCTTTCGACTTTGGTCCATTGAAGGCGAGTACGATCTGGAACGATCTGTAGGATACACTTCTGGCTATCACGTTCTGGATCATCTTCCACGAGGCGCGGAGGAAGCCGCATTCTGCCCTGGAAAGCCCAGGCCACACCATCCCAGAATGGTTCGCTGGGGGAATTTCTTGGGCCCCGGATCTTCTACGGTCCCAATATTACGATGTACAAACACTATTAGATTATACCCCAGTGCGAACCATGAGCATCAAACGAGAGATCATCCTGCATACGAGATTGCAAATCTCCTCGTGCTGCTAATCCCCGAATGACGTTTGCGTTTTTGCTTTTTCGTTTCATCTCATATGCAGGTCGTCGTTTCTTTCTAGAAGGAGAAGCCCCCGGTCGAACTCGGCTGAACACCCTCTTCATCCACGGCAGGGCTCGGATGTGGGCAAAGAAGGCTGAGAAAAAGCAAGGCGATGGTGCACCGGAGTTCTCTCCGTCCACAGCCCAGCCTGCATTCTGCGGCTCGATCGCGAGAGGGTTCGAAGGCCATTTCGCGGTTCACCGCTACCGCCGCCTAAACTGCACGATGCTAGCCTTGCATGTACATACGAAGCTGAGATACGAAAAACAAAAGATACATACATGCACGATGCACCAGTGCACGCGATCCCTGAAGCCAGCCCAAATTTTTTCATGATTCCGTTCCCACAAAACGCAACACCACCATCGTGCATGCAGCAGCTCACAGACGCGCGCGAAGGCACAGACTGCAGACGTAGACAGGGTAAAAGCAGGTGCGCGCATTTACCACCCAAGGCCTAGTTTTGTCCCATGCTCCTCTTGCTTCCGATAATCGCGTGCCGCTCCCAGGAACAAGCACAATTACCCTGACTTTGGCGCCAGCGTATTAGGTCGCTGGGCAGCCCGGAAAGTTGCCCCGGCGCCCGGCAGCCAGTTACGCGTGGTAGTCGGGCGCGCGCCGGTGTATGTAGGGATAAGGTTTGGGACTAGCGAAATGTGACGGGCAGACTTGAACCTGACCTGACCTTGTAGGTAGGATGGATGCCCAAAGGCTGTTTTGGGAAAATGGGAATGGGAATGGGGGGTTTGGCGAAGTTTGAATACGGATGCGATCGTACGATGGGTGTGGTACTGGTGTGGGAGGAGATGGGCGAAGGGTATCCTGGGTAGCGTGGTGCGCGTGGGTTTAGTGCGTGGGTGGGTTGCATTGGTCTTGAGATGGTAAGATGGTGCCTACCGGTGATGTATGTAGGTGTTTGCAAGGAAGTTGTGTATGCAGATGGTTGGGGGTGAGAAGATTGCATGAGGCTCTCACCGCAAGAAAGTGATGTACGATGCATTGACCGAGAAGAGTAAGAGCATCGTATTGTTGTTCTGTTATGCAGAGATAACGTGAGCGGTCTCGTTATACTGACATTGTCATTTACCTTATGCATTCGCTACTCGAAAAGTGGCTGCGGTAAAATGTTCAATCATGAGTGCTGCGACAAAAAGTACGGGTCTTCATGTTTATTAAGTAGAATTAGAAACTAGCTACACAGATCCTATATACAAGAGAAGTGTTTGTGTAGCGCAGTGAACGGAGTAACAGCATAGAGTGGGACTATCTAATGTGTATAACGCTTCAAGCAAGACGCCCCAGGAAAACTGCTGGAAAAGTGAGACATGAGAGAGGCGTGGTGGAACGCTTCGTTCGACATTGGGCGGAGTCGCTATGATAGACCGTTGTACTGAAACTTAAGGGATATAAGTGTCGCCTGGAATGCATCGACAGGCACTGAAGACTTGAAGGAGATATACTGCATGCAAAACCGTGGCCAAAGCCAAAGCCAAAGGAAAAACCTCAAAACTTCGTCCCCACATCCTCAGGACCCCATCTCGAAACCCGTCCTACCCTTCGCGAGATGGAATCGCGATATCCAATCCCAAGCCCAATGCCTTTCTTCTTCTTCGGACTCGCTGTCTCGTCTCTCATATCACTCATGCTGTGCACCTTGGCTAGCAAACTCATCCTTGGCCCTTCGAAGCTCTTGTTCGAATTGACCATGAAGTTCGTCTGCACCGTCAAGGGCGAAGACGAAGGAGAAGCGTAATGGTTGTGAGGCGGAACCAAAAGTTGACCGGGGCCAGCCAAGGGTGTCTTGCGGCGGAGTTGAATCAAAGAGCGTTTCTTGAGGGGAGGCGGAGGGGTGAGATTGGGTCGCGGTGGAAGAGCGAAGTGGTGGAAAGGTGGTGTTGGCGGGCGCGAGGACATGAGACTGGATGAGCCGTTGGATGTGCGTTTAATCTCTTCCCAACCTTTGTTCCGAGGTGCAGAAGTGGTTGTTGGGGTTGGAGATGATGGGCGGACGGAGTAGGTGGATTGGGTTATTGTTTTGTCGCTATCTGCTCGTTCGGAATGTGGTGGTGATGGTGTTGGGATGTTGGTTGAAGGGAGTGAAGTGTATGCGTATCGGTCGTCTTTGAGTGTGGGAAAGAGGATGCTACCAGTTGACCGAGGTGGTACAACTGCTAATGAATTTGCGGCTGCTATGCTTGGTAATGACATTTCGTCGTCCGACAGTATCGTAGACAACATCGGTCGCAATGGCGTCCTGCTTACAGGTGCTGGCGCATATACATGTACCATCACTGAATCCGGTGTCTCCGATCTTACATCGACTGGCAGAAGCAGGTCATGTTCGATCGGATCTGGAAGAGGGTCGTCCGCGTGTCCTTCTCTAATAGATGCTAGGATCTTACTCGCTCGACGCCAGGAAGGAGATATCGGTGGGACGTTTCTCGATTCGGAATCTGGCGAAGGACAGGCACGAAGGCTCCTTAAAGACCTTTGGCTCTTGACACTGCTTCGTCTCGATGATACTGAATGACTACGCTTTAGGCTGCAGCTATTCATGATTGGACTTATAGTCGGCGATGGGATGACATGGTCGCGGAAGAGTGGTGTCAGAGACGCTGGTACGGGGGGGAGAGGTCTTTGCGGGCCCGCAGCATATTTTGTCACCTCCGCAACAAGATCAGACCCAGGATCACTCGGCGAGGTAATCGCATCACTACCTCTCCAGTCTCTAAAGGCGTCTTTGAAGGGGTCTTCGGGATCTCTGAATGGGTCTTCTCTCCATGGGTTGCCAGGGTCGCTGTAGTTCTGCGCACTGATGTTGAGCCAACCGCGAGGATCGTACTCGCGAGAGTTCTTCGGCACGCGAGGTGGTGTTCTGCTTCCAGTCGAAGGCAAGCCACTCGCTCCACCAGACATGAATATGAGTGCATCATCGGATGCACTGCCACTGCCACCGTTCTCGCCGAGTGAAGGATCGTACAAGTACCCCAGTTTGGGGTAGACACCGGACGAGCCACCGCTCCCACGCTTTGCCGTATGAATAGCATGATAGCGGCGAGCGACGAAGATCGCGGCGACTATAGCAAGTAGGATTCCAGCTGTGCTTCCTATAGCGACCCCGGCAGTCTGCTCTGGCGTCAGTGGCTTCGAGGGTGGAGCTGCAGCGGCCTCTGTCTCGGTAGCACTGCTCGTGGGCGCGTTCGTCAAAGTTCGGGTCCTCAGGGTAGTGTCGTAGGTGTTTGTAAACATCGAACTTGTGCGTGAGCTGAGAACCGAGCTCTCAGTCCCCGTCTTCGTCTTCGTTATGAAGCCGCTGAGCGATGTAGGAGTAGAGAGAATAGCAGACGTGGCGGTGGATGAGAGAGGACTTGATGTAAAGATATCGCGCAAGGTACCTGATCTGCTTGCAAGGAAACTACTGGCAATACTAGTCGGAACCAACGGAGCTCCAGGAGTAGAAGTTTGACCAGTGGCGCTTGAAGTTGAGCTGTTCGTCCACCCAGTAGGTGCCGTTTGAAGCGGAGGTTCAAGCGGAAAAGGTAAAAGTCCCAAGTCCACGGAAGACGACGCGGAAATTCCTGAAGCGGGGGTTGATTGCGCAGTTGTTGGATCGCTCCCCCAAAGTGGTGCATCTGAGATCTCCGCCGCCTGACTAGATGTCGCAGTACTCGAGATCTGACTCGTCTTCGACACGATGAAGGTTTGTGTGAAAGAGCCAGATAAGCCAAAAGATGACGAAATCGTAACAGTGCTTGCGAAGCTGCTTGCTGCCGAGTATGTGGTTTCGAAAGCCAACGAGGAGGAGACGGTGCCGTTTCCTGGTGCCGGCGGAGATATGTACCCAGTTGTTTGCGCTGACGTAGTAGCAATCGAGCTTGTTGGCCTTGTCATGTTACCGTTAATTGGATTAATGGGTATGGGTTGCGGTCGAGTCATGGTTGAAGAAGGGGTTTTATCGGGATTGGTAGATGCAGAGGTCGTGACGCTGCCGCTCGAAGTCGAGCTGTCGATCCGAGAGCTGCTAGATTGAACAGATGCGGTTACATTCGATGTAGGAGTCTCGGTCTTTGTTACGCTGGGCTGAGCAGAGCTTGATAGCGTGCTCGCAATCACTGAGCTCGTCGAAGCTACCAAGGATGCTGGTGTAGAAGTGATGCTCGTCCGGGAGAGTGAAATACTGGAGAGAGTCGGAATTGATGAGGGACCAACCACACTGCTTTCGAGATGGGCTGAGGCGGAAGGGGTTGCTGCCGACGTGTTAAGTGGTGCATTGTCCTGAACCGATGGCAGATTGGCGTATCTTGTTGAAGCAGACGATTGTGCCGGTTGAGATGCGACACTGATTGGTGTGGCCGCGTCTGCGATGGAAGCCGGAGATGCGAGGCTACTGCTTCCACTTCCAATGACAGCGGGAGCGGAGCTTGATGCCACCCAGCTGTTAAGGCTAGATACAGAGTGCTGAAGTAGTCCTGTAGCCTTTGTGGGCTCACTAGTGATCTTTCCT